TTTAAGTCATCTTAACCGAATATATAAACCAGTTAACTAACAAATTTTCATGCTCACGATAAAATAAAACATGATTGTAAAGTGCACAAATCCACAAGATTTCTCAATTAATACACCTACTTTAGATAAGCATGAAACCAAAAAACAGGCATATGCATAGGTTATAAGAATTAAATATAAATTCTTTAGTATGCGCCTTTTCCTTCCAGTGTACATCTACAATAATTGCCACAATTTGCTTGTTGCGTGAATGGACAGATGGAAAAGTGCCGGCGATTACAAAAGGGGAAGGTTTTGTTTCGTCGGCGAAAGGGTGCAAAAAGGACAACTTCCGTTTGCTGGACACGCGGACATACCCGCTTGCACATAGATGCACATATACTATGTACCTATTATGTAGGGGTTTTTTTTGTCTCACAAGGCGGACCTTGTGTCATATTTGAGGTGAGCATAAAGCCACTCAACGCCGCCATAAATCAACTGCCCTCTGATCTAAGGCTGTCAGCGCGGAAAGACACCAGACAACGCGACTGAGCGACAGATAGCGACCAAGAACAACCGAAGCAACTAAATTGTAATTTATAATAAGCCGACTTAGGAAGTACCACATTGCATGATATTAAACTTGGATTATTACTATAGCAACGCACACATGCATTTAAATTTGATTTTTAAATCTTTAGAATTTTTTAGATCATTTTGAATATTTCTTACTAGAATATGTGTTAAATTTATAAGCATACTGTTTCAAAATGGTTCTTGGGAGAATATTATTTAAAATAGCTCATTTTTCTGAATGTAGAAAGTTATTACTGTTTAAATTTCAAAATTAAGCGTACAGGTAAAAAAGTGATTGAATGCTTGAATTCTAGTTGGCCAGACTTTGATTAAAAAGCTTAAATTCAAACCATAAATCTTAAGTCAAAAGGTAACATGTGACAAAAATTGAGTAAGGTAATTTGAATTGTTATGGCCAATATACCCTCTGGCAGAACATTGCAACAGCCAGCGACGGCGACAACTTTGTCCCATAACTTTCCAGACGACAAACAGACAACATCGCCGTTGTCGTTGATGTGAATGTCGATTGCGATGTCTGCTCTTTGGGACTGGGTCTGGCTCTGACTTTGCTCTCACCTATGGGCTTAGCTTTGACTATAGCTTCGGTGTTCGTTCAGGTTTTGGTTCTGTTCTGTTCTGTTCTGGTTGCCATACTCGTTCCCGTTTCTCATACGCGGAGGCTTTTCAGGTCGCTGATGCCTTTTTGCGAGAATGCACCTGAGCTTAAGGGTTCGCCTTGTTTCTGCCTTTTTTTTATTGTATTTTTTTTGTGTTTCGTTCAGGTCTTTAGCCGACTTCGACTTTGACTTGTGTCTAGACTGCAGACTGCGGACTGCAGACGGCGAAAAGGAAACAACAGGAAACGCCGGCAGACAACAGACGGGCAGACCTCTTTGACAGCTCAAACAACTGAAATGAGCCGACAGCAGCAGCAGCGACTTGCAACCAGCAACTAGCAACCTCAATTGCACTGCTGCAACGTTGCAGCAGCAACAGCAGCAGCAGCAGCAACAATGGGTTTCCACATCCAACATATTGGGCAAACACTGCCAAACTGTGCGAACAATTCTCGGCTGTCAATATTGTCTGTCAACGTTGTCGCTGTGCCATCTTTCCTTCCTTTATTCTTGGCTCTTTTGTTTCTTGTTAGTTCGGCTCTTTGTTCAGTTTCATTACTTTTTCTAAAATGTGTCATATGTCTAGAGTTGAGATTAGTTTTGGATTGCTTTTGGTTTTAAGTTGCTTCAAGAAAATTGCCAAATTGGAAACAGTCTAGAAACAACGTTAGCTGCTTCACAATTCATTTGTAAAACCGATTTTAATAGATCATCTTATCAATCCAGAGGTCGAGTTTTAAAAGGTTTCTTAATACGACAAAAGTTAAACTATTTTTTTAAGAATTAACTTTTTTTTTCTTATTTTTTAGTGTTTTTATAAAGAGATATATATACAAGCAATGATTGGCAAAACGGAATCAAGATGAGATATCTTATCAATCAAAGCTATTCAATAAAGAATGAGTCCAACTTTTCTAAAAAAAACTTCCTTAAAACTTATTAAAAATGAAAATAAAAAAAAACTATTTACAAGCTTAATGACTTAAAATGAGCTAAATTTATAAGAAGACTACAAACTTAAAACAAGAAACTAATTTTACTTAAGCTTTTATATCATTGTATTGTTAAAGAAATGTAAATAAACATTAATTATTTTTTAAGATAAAATATGTCTCCAAGATCCAAAATGATCTACACATTAAAATTAATCAATGACACATATTTGCAACATTTCCTTATTAAAAACTCACAGAAAGCGGAAAGTTTTCCCCCCTTTTGATGACAACCTACTTTGCACAGGCAACTGTAATTCGTTTTAGTGAATTAACCAGCTTAATTAGTTTAACTCGAGTCGAGACTGGAACGTTGAAATGGAGAGATTCCCGGCCAGTGATTTGGCAGTTAGTTCAGGACATTGCATTCCTGTCTGTCTGGGGCTTTCCCCCTTCATCTGGTTTTCGGCCATCGAGTAAGAGTACTTGTGGTATGCGCTGCTGGCAGCCATTTAGTTCGACTTGATGTCGTTGTCGACGTTGTGTTTAATTATTCAAAACCATGTCATGTCTCTGTATAATTTTATGCATTGGCCAATCCAAGCGCCATGATGAAACTGATGATGATTACGAATAATGATGATGATGATGATGATGATGACGCCTACACAGAGGCGCAAGAGTTAGACGGCAGACAGCTGACACCGAAACTACGGCTACACTAACAGAAAAATTACCCTAAACTTGTTTTTTTTAACCTACAGTTACAAAATATTTACGCACGATTATTCTTTTATTTTTGCAGAACCTTTGATACTTCAGTACTTATAAATTCATGTTATTCAAATATTTAAGGCTTTTTAAAAAATATATATATTAGCCAGATGTACAAATTGCTAATTATAAAAAAAAAATTGGCTTTTTAAATTTGTATTATATTGCAAAACAATAGGATTTCCTGTAAAACCAAACTTGCAGTCCTCATAAGGCCCCGAAAAGTATGCAATGCTTTTTGCGAAATAACAAGAAGAAACTCCAATAAATGTGTTTCTAACTTTTTTGACTTTTTAAATTTGAAAATTATTTTCTCAGGGTACTAAATTCAAATAAAATTTAACATTTTTGAGTGTAGAACTACAACTATCTTTCGACAACGCCACATGTGGCAAAGGCAGCAAACCGCAAAACAGACAGAGACGGGGAGTCGTTCAAAGAGCGAGAGGGAGGGAGTGTGAGGGAAAGAGAAAGACAGAGAGAGCTGCACAGGCAAAGTGGCATACCAGACAGTCTGACGCTGTTGGAGCCCACGAATGGGCCAGTTCCACCGCCAACCAGCTCGTCCCGCTCCTCCTTCTCCCCCGCCCTGCCCCGTCCCCCTTCCTCCCCCTCTCCATGGCCAGATCTTACCGTCTGGACAAGTACAACGACAAAAATAACAACAACCATCGACAACAACGACGACCACGACCACTGTCTGTGGCAGACCGAGACTATCGAAAACTCGAAATTTATTCGTTGGAAAAAGTTGATTTCTGTCGCCTTCTTTTTTCTGCCCACTTTTTTTTCTTTTTCCAGTGGTACGAATAGAGTCGAGGGTATATAGGTAATTAAATATCATTTATATTTTATGTTAAAGTACAATAAAAATATACGTACAATTTCGGGTCTGAGTTCTTTGTTTAAGTCACTTTGATAACTTAATTTTATGAAAGATCATCTTAATAAAAAACATTTTCATTTACATTAAAGACTATTTGCTGTTTGAAATATTTATTAAGAATCATTAAAATTTTGTTCAATAATAACAACTATGAACTCAGAAGCTACATTTTCTTTGTTTAAGTTATCCTATTAAGTCAAGACATTTAATATTCAAAAACCTTAAAATATAAACTGATGCTTCTTTAGATTATAAAACCATAATATTTTCATTGCAAAGAAGCATATGTTATGGTAAATAGATTTTAGATTTTATTTGTTTAATTTTTTTACAAAATTCCTCCTGAACTCAAAGTAATCTTTCTCATTAATCCGTTAAAATATTTTTCTAATTACTGGATGGTCATTAAGTCTATCACCCTCGACAGCTGTTCCATTCTTATTTCTTCTTCTGCACAATCTCGACCTCTCTCTCTTTCTTTTTTTCACTCTCTGTCCCTTTCACTCAGTTAGTCTGTTGTTTTTACCATCGTTGTTCGCTTTATTTTCCATTGAATTGCAGAAAAAGAATAACAAAAAAACAAGAGATGCCCACGAAAATTATGTTAACCAGCCAGCTGTGTTAAAAATCCCACATCATATCCATTTATTCCTCAAACCCCTTTCCCTTCCCGACTTTTTCTTCCTTCTGCTGGCGACAAATGCCATATCGCATAAGGCATAAAAATGTTCAGATATGATGTCTGGTACTGGAACATTTCAGGGCAATTGTTGCTGCGCTTTGCTGTTTATTTTCTGTTCTTATGTTTATTCTTTCTCCGCCCTTTTATTAACAATTGCGACGTGCAAGTAGAATATGTTTTTTTTTTGGCATTGGTATGATTCGTTTGTTTTTGAGCATTTTTTGCGCTTAGACGTTGTTGTTGACAGGTGTATAAGGTACGGAGGAAATTTTAATGCTGTAAAAACTGGAGAATATCTTTTTGAATTTAAAATTATATTTTCAAGTTGTTGTGTGATGGTTTTGAATCATAATAAATACTTTGATTATACGATATTTAACGATTTTAATATTTAAATAAATATGTTTGTCAATTCAAGTTTATAAATGGATAATTATGTGAATATTGTTAAGAGGGTCTATGAGTAGATATAGAACATTTTCTTTGTGTTCCCTCAATTTTCTCACATTTTCATATATTTTTCATATATTTATATATATATGTATTACCTACTCACCGTATTTTTGCCAGAAGGATTCGTTGCTGCCCACGTTCAATTTTGAATGGGAATCGCCGGCGGAAACCGAATCCTCCTCTACTTCATAAACTTCCGTGTAAAGTATGAACTCCAGTCGCGATCTCCGCGTGGTTGTTGTGGATGTTGTTGATGTTTTTGGTGTTGTTGATATTACTGCTGCGACTGTTCGATGTTGCTGCGGGGTCAAATGTGATGCAGTGGTTGACGTTTGGACCGTATCACGTTTGCGTTTAAAAATACGAGGTACGGCACGCAGAGATGTTGCTGTTGTTGCTGTTGTTGTTGTCGTTGTTGCCCCGGGCACATGTGGTAATGTAGTTGATGTTGCTGTTGATGTTGATGTTGCTGTTGCTGCTGCAGATTGCTGCAACAATGTAGCACGTTGATTAATTTGATATGGCAAGAGCATAGACGCGGGCGATGCGGATGCAGACTGCGACGCGTCGCGACAACGACAACGACAACCACGATGACGATAATGATGGCGATGACGATAATAATGATGATAATGATGATGATGCTGGCGATGACGATGACGACTACTATATGGACACAGCGCGGCGGGGGAGGGGTAGAAAGGGGATCGCGGTGGGGTTGTACGAATATTTGTCTCGGCACTTGGACTTAAGTGGCAATCCGCACTCGATGCTGGTAATTTATTTTGCAAATTTGTGCCAACAACGAATGGCTCCCCTCGCTGCAGCGACTTGCTCAGAATTAAATTTAACTTACGCGTATTATTTGCACTATTTACACTGCACAAAATTGCACTACCACTATTTACAGCACCTTGCACCACCTGCGCACTACCTTCGTTGGCACTTTCACTTTCGCCGCCGCTTCCAGTTGCATTCGATAATTGAATTGATTTGCCTATCGAATCGCTTGTCTGGCATTTCACACACTTGTCACCGCCTCGTCTCAGCTGCTCTTCGTGGATTCGATTTAATTTCTCAACAACAGACGCCCATAGGTGTGCTACGTTTCCGTTGGAAACCCGCTGATCCTGCTGCAAGATGTGGGAGCGGAGACCGCCTGATCCCGGCATTGGCACCGCGAGGGCTGAGGCTGAAACTGAGGCCGGCCGGAGGAGCGTCGTCAGAGTGGTCAGGGCGAGCACCAGGCTGATCACAACCACTGTGCCCCACCACAATGTGCAGCTGGCCCCCGCGGCGCCACTTGCTGCATCTGCATGCGTGGGGGCCACAGCGTCGTCCGCCGCCGGCGATCGGATTGTTTACGCCGTGCTTTCGTCCGGAAATCCCCCAAATCGCATGGTCAACTCCGGTGCAAACACGTGATCAATATGCGGGGATTATTGCTGCAGGAAAGAAAAGAAAATCCTTTATGAAATATTTTATCAGTGTTTTCTTTAAAAATATAAAAAGAATAAAACATTTTGTTTAATAACGGGCAAAATTGTAACATATAGAATTCTTTAAACAATTTACCAAGATTTTTAAAATTTTGTAACCTTAAAAACATATATTAAGTTTTTTGTTTATATAAAAATGTTAGCTATTTTGTATTCCTTAATAATTGTATGATATTAAGATTGCGTTTTGTTTTTGAAAATAAATTCATTATCATAACGTATAGGTATGTATTAATATAAAGCGATTTATTTTGAAATACATAAATTTAAATTCCATTATGCCCTAATCAACGATTAAACTTTTTTCTTGCAGTGTTTTTATGCTGTGTGGTCGCCCACTTGGCTCTTGTGTTTTGTCAGTTTCTTTTCTTGTTGTCGCGTTTACTAGCTGCATTTGCTTTTGTTTTGTGCGAGGAGTCTGTCCCAAAGTCTGTGGCAAAGTATCCACCGGCCTACAATGATTCCTCCCGAACCCCCGACGAAAATACATAGTGACTCATGGGCGGGAGCGAAAAGGAGAAAGGGGGCGCGAAAGGAGGAGACAGTGTCTGAGCATCGCCCTGTGGGCATAAATAACCCCAAGAACTGCACCACGAACAACAATAATATATGTACAAATGCTTTGGCATTGTTGTTGTTGCACGTTGCGTATGCGTAATATTTTGCTGAAATTTATGTTGCACTTCTTTGCGACTTCGGTTTTATTATCATCATCATCATCATTGTCGACTTCTATATTTAAAGCAGATCAGCAGAAACACAAAGAAGGGAGGGAGGCGCAACTTCTTCGTTATGCACTTTACATTTGCCCCAACTTATTATAAACAACAACAAATTCCATAAAACTACAAGCAAGTCAAGAGAAATAAGTTTGAAAATAAAAACATCAACAATAATGCGAGAGGTAAAAAATTTGAGATACGGAAGACAGAGGATTTTTGGTTCTCAGTTGCATTGCATTGCATACAAATAAATAGAAGTATGGGTTTGGTACAGATTTTCGACTTCGAATTTTATTTTTTTGTAGCTAATATAAATGATTTTTTTATATTAATAATTCGGAATAAAAATAATAAATGGTTTTTCTTTATTTTTTGAGTGTCTTTTATCTCACACTTTTAGAAGAAGTTCATGGTAACGATTTAATTAGAAATTAGTAAAAGCTACTAAAATTAAAAAATAAAATCAGAACAAAATGATTTAAATTTAAAGGTAATCCAAGCAGTTAATTCCAGGATGTTTTAAACTCAGATTTCTTCTTGTTGATTCCTTTAAGTTTTTAGCTCTGATTCCTTTACGATCTTGCCCTCCTTTTATAAATTCATGATAATGCAACGACAATGTTGCACCCCAAAGTGTCAGAGACAGATTGATGCCACAAAACAACAAAAGCATGAAGATGAATCGCATTGTGGAGACGAATCACCGTCAACAACATCAACTTCATCCTCATCATCTCAGACTGATTTTGTTGTTTGTCTGTTGTTTTTTTTTCAAATTTATTTGCTTTGTTGAAATTCCTTTCAAGTGTCGGAGGCGATCGTCATCATCCTGCTATATCCTCCTCATCCTCATGATCACGATCATGATCATTAACAACCTTTCCTGTAGTGTTTGTGTCTGATCTGCTTTCGTTGCCCAGACAGACAGACAGAGGCGGCGGGAGGAGGGACACTCGACGGCAGCTACTGTTTCCCCTTTTTGGAGCCCTCTTGAGCCGAAGCAATTTATTTGATTGCCTCTTCATTTTCCTTCCCCTCCACTTCGTTTGGGCTCGGACCTCAGACCTTAAGTCGAAATTTATGTTTGCCATAAAAACACGATCTCCGACTCCGAGTCATAATTAATAAAAAACAGCAAAGAAAAAATAAAGAAGACCAAATCCGAAATGCAAAATACAAAAAAAAAGTCCAGAAATGTGGCCATAAAGTGCTGACAAGTGTTTTTCTGCCGTCCAACTGCACAGCCCAAACAAAAAGGCTCGCGTGAGTCAAGATCATTTTGAGACAGAGTTTGTTTGGGCCTTTTTTGTCTGGCTCCAGCACCAGCTGGACTGAATGTGATGGGAATGAAAGGTATAAATGTGCGACTTTATGAAAAGAAATTACCATACAAAGTAAACTCAGATCGAAAGAATGTGGCAATAAAAATAAAATGTCTCCTTCATAAAAATAAAAGCCTTCTTTTTTGAGTTCTCAACGCTAAAAATATTTACATTTAACTTTGTTTGTTTGCGACCTTACTGAATATCATTTTGGCAAAATAAACTTAAAAATTCAACAATTTAATGATAATTTTGCAGAATAAACTTAAAAATGCATCAATTTAAATATAACTTTTACAGTTTTGAAAATGTAATTTTACAGTTTTATTGCCAACAAAAAATTGAAGTACGTTTTATGGACTTTGCTGATCATCTTGAATGTACTTTTTTTAATTTTCTTAAATCAAGAAGGTAGTTTTTGTTTACCCACAGTTTCATTTTCAACGCTCTTTGAAAATAACGAATTATTATATCAAAAACAATAAAGAAATAAAAATAATATATCAATAAGCCGAATTAAGAACAACAAGAAAACTCTGAGCATAAGCATTCTCATCTAATTCAAACACATTCCAGTTTATTTTTAAACAAAACGCTAAATTCTTGTATTTATTTCTGTGCCGGCAAAAACAAAATCGCATGCTTTTATTTTCAATTTCCAACATATAGAGCAGGGCGGTGGGGGAAAAAAGCCAGGAATTCGAAAGTAATCGACAGAGGCTGTCTGTTATCGATAAAAACACCGAAAAGCGAGCATTGGCATTTGCCAGATAAGCGGGTAAATTCGTACTCGTACATACCAGCAAGTCGAACGCTCGATTTGACATTGAGCAAACGTAAATTCGAAGAATTCCGGCCCAGGAAAAGTTTTCCCAACGCCCAAGAGGAAGAAGTATTGCTGCAGAGACCCCTCGAAATCCCCGAACACGGCACTGTTTTTACTACTTCACGCACGACTTTCGAACCCGTGCCACGCGGCGAATATCGAGCACACTAATCGAGGAATTTCACACATGACAACCAAGTATTTGGACTTGCTCTCGCCTTCACTCACTTTCTATCTTTCTCACTGCAACTTCATCTTCTGATTATCTCCATTGGGTTTTTCGTACTTTAGTGTTGCAAAAAAAGCGAAAAAAATTCAAAGCATTTGATGTGAACTTTGGATTTACTGTTGAGATAACACGCTTATCCCCGAAATATCCGTTACCATATGGCAATATAGCTTTCACCGATCCGATCTAGCCGCCAACCTGCGCCGCACTGAACTAGATGCGATTTTTTTTCGCAGCTAACATAAAAACTGCCCGTTTGTCTCCAATATTTCACACATTTCGCACACTCGGGCCCCGGCGTCTATATAGACGATATATATCCACATATATCCCTGCACTGGCCGGGAATATAGAGGGACGGGCTGGGCGGCCTGAGACTCCGACGCGGCGACAGACGGGCCTTTTATTTTTACCGCTCATTTTGTTGTTGTTCGCGGGCATGGCAAAAAAAAAACTAGAAAATAGGAAAAATTATTTTTGTACTTAAAAATAAATTGAAAAGCATTTTCTTCATCTGTTTTTGCAACAACGGCCGCAGGAAAATCAAGCGTGAAAAGCGTGCTGCCACTCCTTTCCTCGATTTTCATCTCCACTTTAAAGTCTCCACTCTACAATCTTGCATCTCTGAAGGGCCACACTGTAAAAAAATATTTTAAAATGATGAATTTCGCTTTTTAAGTGAAAAAAGGGAATAATAAAGTAATTAGAAAACAGAAAACCTATATATTTTTCAACTGATGATTAAAAAGACTTTTTCTATTTTATGTAATTAATGTCAGAAAATTAAAGCTTAAAATATTTTGTTCTGTGCATTGTCATGTTTTTCTCTTCGAGGATCGAGAGCTGAGTCCCTGCCTCCGTCTTTGCCTTCGTCTCTGTCCGTCCGCCCGTCTGTCCGACTGTCTGGCCCTGCTCATTATTTCGCTATCATCGGGAGAGACGCAGAATCGGCGACAAGAACAACAACCTGGTCCAAAAATACCCTCTAACAGTGGGGTAGAGTAGGATGAACAACGCAGACACAAGCTGAGAATAAGAATTTTGCAATATTGTTGCACAAAGTGCTCGTCGAGAAGGAGTAGAGGTGGCCAATAGGGAGAAAACAAAAATAATCAGTTTGATGGCATTAAAGCCGCATGAGAAGTGCCCTTATATAACAATAATAAAATATAATAATAATAATAGAAAACCCGTAAAACATTTATGACTTAAAATCTTTTAAATAAGCTTTATATTAATAGAAAATTAGCAATCATATAATTTAAAATTTACTTACGGAACTTGGAATTGCTTATTTGTATTTCTTAAATTATTTTGATACTTAAAAGATTTTTATTTTTCTCAAAATGGTTATAATTTGGCGTTGTACCTGAACCCTTTTAATATATTTTGTGTTGTTTAGTTTTAATACACGTAAAAAGTATTTAATAAATATGTTGTAATTACTTTTATTAATTCAGCCTCCTCTCATAATTGCTAGTAAGCTAATCACAGAACTCCAAATGCCGGCCATATCTTCGAGTAAAACAATAGCAAGCTACAAAAATGTTACAAAGTATGGAAAGGGATGGCGTAAAGAATAATTCTCTATTCGCGTGGATAGGGTCGCCAAACGGGAGACTATGTGTGGGGATTTTTGGGCTATTTTCAGACCCATCTGACTCACTCGCCCTCAACCTCAGCCGATCCTCTCGCCTCCTCGCCCGCCAACTCGTACTCCCTACAAAAAGAACAATGTGCCAGGAACCGCTGAAAATTTC